TGTTCGTATTTAGTCTCCTGATTTTAAATGCCCTAGTATGTTTTTGTCACCATTTCCATAGCCCCACCAAAAATATTTTCCACCAGCCGCCACTGCTAAGGGGTTATTTCCTGGCCAAGACCTTTGTCTATTTGGTGAATGTCAAGGGGTTTACTTTAAACACAGCAAAACACAATACAGCTGTCATATGGGAACTGAAATGTATTACAATGAAATAACAATATGATCAAATCTGCCAGCAGTTTGTAAGACTGTGGAAGGTGTTTTTAGGGTTGAGGTTTGTTGAATGACAGCATTATGGTTCTTTCCATCTACTGGAGTTACTGGATGTTGCCAAACCTGATATTAACTGTTTGTTTGCCAGAACAGCATTCCAACCATATAATTATAATGTCTCTGTGTGTTCTCGCCTGCAGCATGGAGTAGCATTGATGGCCGTATAAAGACTGACCCAAACCCTGTGAACTTCTCCATGCTGGGGCTAAACACCACAGGTTGGTATTGTTATTAAATGTTAGTCTTTTAGCAATAACTAATACATTTCTTTTTACCTCCATCTCTCTCTTAATCACCTTCTTACTTTTTTGTTAGACTCAACATCAAACTCAATGGAGCTGCAGTGGGCGAGGTGCCCTAGTGTTGATGATGAATGGTCTGGGTTCAGTGAGTATTTCAGCAACTGTTTCATACAGTACATACTTCTAATATAGCAGATAATAAAAAAGTATAAGCTGCAAAATAATTAAGAGATGATTTGTAATCCAAACTTTTAAAAAATGTAATAAATGGGGAAAGTATCCATTACCCATTGTTTTGTCCAACCGACATCCTGTGTTTTCTTTAGATGGGATAGCAGCTGCAGACCCCAGCTCTGACTGGAGTGCCCCGGCAGAGCACTGGGGAAACTATGAACAGCCCCCTGTGATGGAGACCCAAGCGCCTCCACTGAAGGAGCAGCCGGCACCCAACAAGGTTTCACTGCCAAATCACACACATGGATAATCACATCTGTTAGAGATTTAATGTATCCCTTTATCTTAAAGGTCCCATGACATGGCCATTTCTACTGATCATAATTCCATTGTTGAGGTCTACTAGAATAGATTTACATTGTTCAATGTTCCAAACTCACATTGGTTTCTCATACAGCATCTCTGTATACACTCTGTCCTAAACGGCTTGTTGGAGCTCCTGCCCCCCCTCCCTATGAGCCCACTGTGCTCTGATTGGTCAGCTCGCCCACTCTGTTCTGATGAGTCCACCACCGTTACAGCTGAACATCAGTGTTACATGTGTTACAATGGCGTTTGTTAGCAACCAGAAAATGACACGAGTAATGACAAACTGATGAGAATGCTGCGTGGGGTCTGGGTGCTGTGTTGGCGGGATGTTGCAGGGCTCGCTGCCCCGCCCTTTGAGGCTCGCGGAGCGGACAGTGTGAGGTGGATTACTGGTGTCGTTTCCTGGTTGCTGCGTGGGGTCTGAGAGACAGCGAGACACTGCGGAGCTCAGCCTGAGCACACACATTCACAGCCACTCCGCAGCGTTACGTCACTATGACCAGGAAGGAAAAAAATGGAAAAAGAGAAATGTCCAACGAGGCGTTCATAGACAGGTCTTTTCTGTGTTAGAGTTTTACTCGCTATAGGGTGTACTTTGGGGGTTTGTGACTCTGCAGACCGTTTACATGCAGAAAAAGCATGGGGACGGGTAATAACCAGAAAAGCATGTCATGGGACCTTTAATACAATTTTAAGGAGGCTTTTTAATATTCTTGATTTATCCTTTTTTTAAATTGCTCTTCTACTCAAGACACAACTGTTAACATGACATGTGTTCCTAATTGTATAAATGTCTGTATTTGTTTTGGAAGGTATCCGAGGATGAGAAGGACGCTGATGATGTCGCCGGTGGAGCCGCCAAATCTAAGAAGAGCAAGAAAAAGAAGAAGAAATCAGAGGAGGAGGCTGCATCTGGGGCTAAGGCAAGTTAAAAAAACAAAACAGAAAGCGGTCAGATTAATATCTTAATAGTTTCCTGTTTTTGTAATTGTATTGCATTTCTTTGGTTGTAGATGGTGAGCACATTTCCTTTGGTCAATACACCCAAACCCCAAGAGCCTCCTGTGCTGACGTCAAAGAAGCAGAACCCGAGCATATCCTCCTCTCAGAGTAAGTGTCCATAGCTTCATATTCACTCACAGGGATGAAATAAAGCAATACTAAGATGGTACTTAAAAACATGCTAATGTTATATTTTTGTATCTACTTGCAGAGAAGGCTGAGCAGACTGCGGAGCCTCCAAAGGGCTCACAGAAGAAAAAGGTTTGACGGGAAACATGAGGTCACATCACAGGTCCATCTAAAACATATGCAAATGATTGTAAAATGTGTCACATGCAATAATTACAAGGTACAGAGTTTCTTTCTGAGCTACATTAACAGTTTAACTACCAACACCAAGAGAGAACAAGCAGTGAACATCCCCTGCTTGGCTAAATACAGTGATGAACCGTGGTCCTGTGGACTTAAATCTGAACTAATTTGCACTATTTGCTACACTGCGACCAGAGTGGAGTTTCAGGCAAGGTGGAAAGTGGAGGTACATGCTTATGTAATTATTTGTATGGCATCAATAGTGTTATTCCCTCCGAGAGTGTATGTTTTAATCCAAAAAAAAGAAACAAAAACAGGTTTTATTTTTAATTTGTTTTTACGTGAACATCTAAGTTACAAGCTAAGCATACATTTTGCTCCCCAGAATATTGCACTTTGTTTTGTTTGACAGTGTCTGCCCTTGTATCAATTACTGAAATGTGTGTGAGGATAGGTTCAGATTTTTTCATTTTAGTACAACACTTCCATACCTGTACGGATATTGATAGAAAGTTGAGGGTTGCTGTAATCGGACCCCCTTTGTGTGCTGGCCATGACGCGATACCCTTAAAAAGCTGCAAAGTTAGAAACACAAATCCACACTTATTGTTCTGGGCAAAATATCAATCTAGATTATCTGAAGCTAGCATGAGGCTTAAGCTTTTTTTTTATTTTCCGAAGTCATGGCTTTATTAGTGCAACATTCAGCCTTTGTGTTTGCCACGTTTCTGAGGTGTGAGTTATACTTCCTGACAGTCAGAGCTCCAAAACCCTGACAATAAAACTACATACGACTGCCCTGACAAAGGTATTCTCCGACTGCTGAAGCCTCACATTAGTTTTGTCACAACTTTAGCCAGCATTTTTTAACAGCAAAAAAGTATTTTGTACATTGTTAGTCAATCTATGAAGGTATCACTACATAGACGGTATGGAAAGAAGATATTATAGTGACCTATTACTCTTTCAACGTACATATGAGTGTTGTGTTAAGATTGGTCTGTCTATCCTTTAAGTAACATCTCCTAAAACTGTCATTTGAGTACCAACACTTGCCTCCTGTAGGCTGTGTAGTTTATAAAAGCTGCTTTTAAGAAGAAGGGCAGCTGTTATCAGGTTGTTTCACAGCAGAGAATAACAAATATTGGCCTTAGAAACCTCTCCACCTCTTCACTGTCCTTAAGAGCGGTGGTAGTATGTTCCGTCCTATCATACCGTCTCCACAATATGGTTCGATACACCGAGGCCTGAAACTGTGATGACGAGTTTGAGCACAGGCGGCTGAACAAATATTAACTCATCAGATTTTGATCAGCTCAGATGATTTCTTCTATAGAGAGCACAGTAACTGATATGAACCACCAGGGGGCAATGTATTGTGAAGAAGAGCAGTTGTGGGAATATCCCATAAAGCAGTAAAAATATTGAGCACCCTCCGTCCACATTTATCATTTTGATTGTGTCTGTCTTTATCCGGCTAGACTGTGCGTTCATTTTTTAGAGACTGAATGGTCCTTTCTGCTTTTTTAAAAACGTTTTCTTCCAGTTTTTGTGCTAGAAAAAGCCACGCCATATGTACAGATTGTAAGGGCTTTTTCCAGTCCTGTGATTGCACTGTGCTAAAGGCTATATTCAGTTCCTTTTTATGTCAAGACATTGTTTTTTACTTATGTTTTGCAGAATGTGAAATGTGAAATTCCTTTTGATTAACCTAACTCCCCCGGATTTACGATGGGGATTTTTTTTACATAAATTAAGAATGAAGACGTACGTAAAGATATGATATGGAGCAGCTTTAATTCAACATCGAAGTTGTTTTTAAACAAGACAAACACAATTACACATATTCAAGGAATTCAATTCCATTGCCTTAACCTGTAGTTGTATAGAACGTGCATGTTTTTATAGTTTTCAACCAATTGCAAGCTTTGATGTCTGAAATTAATTTCATCTTGCATGACTTTGATAAAAGTACTTGTGTACACAAAAAGAAATGAATGATCTCTTGCTTTAACTGTTGGTACCACTCAGTGTATATAATCTAAGAGCTTTTTTTTTAATGAGACAAGTGGCAGCTTTTTTCTTTGGGAATCCAACAACAGACACTAACAGGAGTCTGTTGTTGGAGGTCGGAGAGGCTTTGTGCATCGAGGTGTTGATCAGCATATATTAGTGAAGCTGATGGAACAAAATGATACGTCGCTGTGGCTTCAGGCGCCCTTTTGTGTTCCATTTCTACTGATGATTAAATGGATTTAATCAATGTATTTATATAATTGTCTCTAGCACATTGTTATGTGAATGATTTGGTTTATTAAGGAGATACAAAATGATATTTCTATGTTTGTTTGGTACAAATAAATGAGAATTGCTTGATATCACATTGTCATAGAGATGCATCTTTTGTCTTGTAATGCTGACACAACCTATAAAATGTGTTAAACCAGTGAGGGAATTTACACACAACACGTAATTATCATTTTCACCTTTCCTTAACAGGATATTGAAACCTCAATGTTTAAAATGTGAATATTTGCTTTTTGAAATCGGAGAGATCTGGGGATTTAATCACCTCACACAACAGGAAAATCTGGCCGGATATTATTTAAAACTATTAGAAAATGCAGAGCTTTGCTGCTTCTTGTATAGTGTGTACCCCACGTAAAGCCGACTTACCAACACTATAGTTAGTGTCTCTTTTCTGGAGGCTTAAAGCTTTAGAATAACACAACAAAATGATATAATAAAGACAGGGCTTGAGGATAACATTTTTATATTCATAGATGACTTTTACATCCAGAGCTCCTCAGGCTAATTATATCGTTGTGTATGTTGTCCTGAATAAGCACTGAGGATTCTGCCGCCTTTAATCATGTTTTAATGCCAAGATAAACTTAAAGTATGACTAAGGGGCCTTTTAATGCAGCAGAAAACCACACGCAAACCATTCTGATATGAACGTTATTTTCTTCCACTGGTCTCTAGTTTTTATGTATTCTGTCAAACTAATCCCAAATCTATGATTAATAAAATTAGAGGACTGGCTGTGTTTATGTTTATTTAGGATCCCCATTAGCTTTTGCTCTTGACAAAAGCTACTCTACCTGGGGTCCGACATTTAAAACAATACAATAATATATAATACAACAACATTCAAGACATAAGTCCTGACATCATTAACAATGTCATCCACTTTCAACATCAAACTCAGCCAAGACACCCACCAGTGTTATGGTGAACATCTGTGTCAGCAGCCAGCCCCTGGTAGCAGTGCCCCTCCTGTGAGGCCAAACCGCTGCCCAAGTCAATGTAGTGAGGCAGTCGTATGGCACGCTCAAATCCTGACCTCCTTCATCTCATCAGCCTCTCCATCTCCTAAATCTCAGCTCTTTTAGGATTAACCCGTTTTTAATCTCCCAAAAACTCTGACTCTCACTGTCCGTTCACCTTCACTTTAGGGGGATATCAGGTTTTTTTTCTCATTATTCTTCCCTGCCAGAGGATTATTGTACCCTCTTTCTTGTTTGTTCATGTGACAGTCAGATATATTAATAGTAAAGGTCACTCAGTAATGGATGTTACTGCAGTTGCTCAAAGCCCTGCTAAAAAAATTACTCGCTAATGCCGTTTAAAAAAAAGATTCATCAAAAGTCCCTGTGTCTGAAACCCATAGGCTTCACATATTGTAATGATGAACCAAGTTAGTATATTGTTGTGAAATTATACAGCCGAACTAACAAACCAGTTCACCCAAACACTGGCTTCGGGATTGTTTTGCACTTTGCAACAGCTCTGAGAAAAAAAAGATTAAAAGGCTTTGTCGTTATGTCAGAGCTCTCTCTGCACGTATGACTACATAGACGACTACACATTTCATAAAAACTCTCTTTGATGGAAACGGGTTGAAGCTGAAGAAAATGGAACATCAGCTTGAGATGTCCTCTTCAGATTGTGTTCCAGTATTTAAAGTGGTGGCAGTCTGGTCAGTATTAAGTCATGGCAGGAGAGGAAAATCCCCTAATGTGACGATGATACGGTCCACCCACCAGAGCTTAGTGTGTGGTCACCGGCCCATCTGTCAGGCCTGATCCTGGATGTTTGCTCCGACAGAGAGAAAAACTGACATGAAATTAGAGATGTGTCTCTTGTTCAAACACGGCATTAATACACAGCAATCTTTAGTCATTTACATTGAGACAGATATTCAAAAAGAATGGTGACATCTCAGTAGGTTTCATTGTATTACCTCATGTCAAGAATATATCGATTTATAAAAACAGGACACTGATTGGTCATCCGGCCTAATTGTAAGAGTATGTCCTTTGCTTTATGAAAAGTGTAACAGTTGCATGAGGGCACAGACATATTGACCCGTTACACAGATTTCACTATGTATTATAGTTTTTAAATACAATATGGACATCACAGTAACATTATAGTTGTATAACACACTTTCTGGCAAAAAAACTGAACCCCAAAGATGCATCCAACTTGACAACAATACATACAGAGATACCACATATGTATCCACAAAAATACAACCACAAAATGAAAAGTGTGTCCATGGGTGTACTAGATTTTGAGATCAATGTTTTATTCGCAAGAATAGAGGACTGATCTTCCACATCTGTTAACCCTCTCTTCTTTCTCTTCTCTGTAGGCCTACTGTGTGCAGTATGTCCAAGGGTGACACAATATATCATTCTAGAGACTCCTAAAAATCACTCTTAAACACAAGTTAATGCAGGATTATACATCATATAAAGATAACATCAGATTAGAAGGTTTTAAAACTAGATTTAACTTTACTAAAACATGTTTTCATTTCAAATCTCTATTGGGCATAAATAGTCACAATTTGTCAAGGTTCACAATTTAGCTCTGACACACTGATGATATAAAGGAAAAAGGACTGATTGAGTGTTGAGCACACTGTCAATCACATCCAGGGAAAAGGCAATGGTAATGTTTTTGACACACATTTTCGGGGGTGCTTCATTGTAACAGGAAAGTAGGCCAAATTATTCAATTTCTCCCAGTAACAAACGGTCCCCACAGACAAATGCGTGAGTAAGTGTGTGACAGCATCATGTAATAACTGAACTGAAATATGTTATTTGCATCCCTCGGTGAAAATCCTGGTCACGTGACTCCGGGATGAGCCAGATTAAGGCTCTGCTTGTTGCCAGTCCTCCTCCACCAGTGGAAACATCCGAACATCGTCTCTGACATACACTCGATGTGGCGGAACTAGAAGCGGTCCGTATTTTTTTAGGACACTGTAGCGTTGAATAATTCATTTTCGGCGGCATTCATGAAATAACTTGAAATTCATAGCAGAATAACACCATGATTTCGCCGTGGGACCGGTGGTACTCGACTAGCTGCTGCCTCTGCTGCCATGTACGGACGGGCACCATTATTCTGGGAATATGGTATATGGTAAGTGTGAGGTGTTTCACTCGATGTCAGGTGCAAAGTGACAACAAATAGGGTGAAAAATGTAGAAAATTAGATGCACGTTTCATGTGAGTTTTACCACAATAAAGCTATGTTAGCTAGCTGCTGCTGTTTTTTCCACTTGTTTATCGCTTTCACTCATTTGGGAATTGCCATTTTGAGGATGCCCTCGGTTTAAAGAGTAATGTAACGGAATGTAACTACATTGCTAGTTTATTAACCGCCAACTGACTCCTATTTCCGTTATATATTTATTTTTTAATAACGAATAACCATATAACAACATGTATTGTGTAGCACAGTTTGTAGCCGTTATTAATTCAAGCTTTGACGTTACACTTTTTGTTGTGCTGAAATAAAATCACCATAACATCCCATAGGTTTTTTCCCTACATTTGTAATTTAGTTTGTTTCAGTTTAGGACCACGGGATAACGTAACGTTTTAAACATATTAAATAAACCTGTTAAATCCCTGACCTTTCGTAACCGTTAGTCCCTCTCTCTCTGTGACCCTACTACTAAACAACTCTGTGTTCAAAGAGAGCCAAGGCCTCACAAAGAAACACACTGTTACCTCCATACCATGCTTTTACTTTCCACAGTGACATACATAAGACTTATGTGGTCATTTCTGCTAATAAAGCTGGTTGGACAGATGATTTACTGCACCTGTCTAACAGTTCACCAAATACCATAGGCTATCAATGTGACTGCTCAAACAGGCAGTGTTTGATACAAATTGTGATAATCAAGTGTTTTTTTATTCACTTCCAGCATCTCTAATCGGATGATTTACTGCTTTCCACTGCCATTATTGGGAATGAAATGTATTTGGATGTTGTACTGGAATTTGCACAAAACCAGCAATTTGAATATGTGACATTGGGCTCTTTGAATTTAGGATTTGTGGCCCATTTTATTTAATTTCTATTCAGAAAAATAATAATTGAGGAATGTAATAGTTCAAAATAATAGCCAGTTGCAGTCCTAATCAATTGTTCATGAAGCTATAGGACATTTGTCCGGTAGATCTAACCACACAATTGGTCTTTATCAAATTCAAAAACCTTGTCAAATAATCCTTTACCTAACCCGAGATTACTTTTCCATTTGAATTACTTTCATCCAACTCCAAGAAGGAACCCTGATCCACCTGATCAAATTATCTGAAAGTGAATCCAAGAACGTACAAATGAATAACTCTGCTATGTAATATTGATCTTTGTTTCCCCACAGCTCATCAATGCGGTGGTTCTACTCATCTTGTTGTCGGCTCTCAATGACCCGATTCAATACCGCTACCACCTTACCAGCTCTGAGCTGGGGACTGACATCGACGTGATGGACGATGCAAGTGAGTGGAAATAATCCCCTTATTGTATCATATCTGACGCGTTACATTCTGTATATTTGATTAGACTTCCTCAATTAAATGTTCAAGATGTATTATTATGATTTTCTGTGTAAGATTTCATAGAAGTAGTTTAAATTACTCTGAAGGGTTTAATTTTAATATTCAATTTAAAAGGAAACTAATTGTGTCTGTATTTTACAAATTGTTTCTTCAAATGTCATTAAATATTCAATATAATTCATGTAATTACTTTAGTTGTCAACTATACAGCATGGTCATTTCATTTAAACAGTGTGTTCAACAGAAAAATACCACCACAATAACACAAAAGACAATTAATTCCAACTTTATTGCATGATATACGATTTCTGAGATAACGGGTCTACGAGTGACCCTAGTGACATGTAATGGCAAAAACATTTCAACAACAAAAATCCCCAAATGTGACACTGTTGTCTTCGATGCATTCAGTCAACCAACACATGATCTCATCTCTATACTTAAGTAGAATATTTTACATCTCCCAATTGTTATTTTGGCACATATATCTAATAAGACTGTTAAAACAAATTCAAACAGTGTCAACATTTTACAGTAACTAACTACCACTATCATCAGCATGTCCTTAAAGCGCTGTGTGTTTTTGCAGCTCTAAAATCCCTTTTCCTTTCTGCTCACCGCTTCTTTTTCCCAGAGTGCTGCTCTCAGCACAGACATAGCTGAGTAGGCCCGACTCCTCACAGAACAAATCAGTGTGCATGTGTATTTTCAGTATTTCCCCTCCAGCTGCTATTATCATCACAGTCACCTCTGGAACACCACAGTCTCTGTCACTAGCTACTCTGATTAAAAACGACTGCTCCAGTTCTGTTTCTGATTAAAACGGCCATCTTGACTGATGGCATTGTTGGTTGTGCAGCATCAGTCAAAGATTGTGAAACAGCAGGAAAAGATGGAGACAAGCTGATGTTGGGTTTTTGTAATAGGCAGGTTTCCAAACTCACTGTGACCATATGCAGAATTTAATGAAACGTAGCTCAGATTGTGTAGATGACCTGTGTTGGGCGAAGGGTGGCGGTGCATCTATTTATGCATGTATTGTTTATTTATAGTATGTGTTAACATCTGTCCCTGTGTCTAGTGTGTTGCAAGGGATTAAGATGGTATGGTATCATCATTTCCTGGGTTTGAACACAGTATCATTACTGAAATAATCACTGCTGCTCAGTCATGAGGATATAGAGAAGTTGCAATGAGTTTTTCATTATTTTTCTATGTTCAGTCATTGAATTTGGTATGTTTTGTCATTCTTAATAATGCAGACAAAGATGACCAGAGATTCATTGATTATATTGTTTAGCTGTCAGTTCTGTGTCAGATTACCAAGTTCAATAAGTGCCGATGTTGCATAGTGATCCCTTTCACTGAACTGCACAAGGCAGAGATCCTGTTTAACTTGATGTCTGTGAAACCCTCTTTGTTAGATTTAATTAAACTCAATAGGCTTTATTGGCTTTATTAACAAATGACTGCTGCCAAATCACAAAAACTACTATGAAAGACACTGAATGTAATAACAAAAAAAAAGCATGATAATAATAATTAGAATTATTAATAGAATAAAATAAATAATGAAAATATGAATCTGATATAATAAAATAAATGTCCTTATCTATTTTAATTATATTAACTAATATTGTTATCCCTTGAATTTTCATTTTCACTTCCAATTCACTTAAATGTTCTTCCTTGACTTTTAATACAAAAAGTGAGCATTGGCTAAATGTAAATGTGACTTTTGTTTTAACAAGACCATCAAAAACAATGCGATGAAAAGTTTGAACCTTTTATAAATAACATGAAGATGTCTTGGGAGGGAAAATGCAAGATGTCTACCATAAATGTATTTACAGTAAAACATTAAGATGTAAATGGTTAATAAAAGACAGCCATTAATCTATAAATAAAAACATTTAAAACGTTGCTGTGTAATTAGGAGCATCTCATCAGTCAGTCTTCTAAGATGTAATGTGAAAGTCAGAGGGGCTTTATATTTAGTTACATTTAGCCCAACTTGCATAACAATTAACCACGTGCTGATCATGTTTTTTTGACCAGCGCAGAGCTTGAGCTTAAAATAGTGAGGTTACCTACGGGGTTTTGTTTTGTAGAATCCAGTTCCTTTAAAGACTTTTGGATTACGTCAGTCACTGCGGGTCACGAGTCATCTGTTTTTAATATTGTTATGTTTGTTTGTTTTTGCAGATATCTGCATAGCCACTGCGATATCCCTGCTCATGATTCTTATATGTGGTATGGCAACATATGGTGCTTACAAGGTGAATACACAAGCAGTACAAATGATATTCAAACAGAAATCTGAATTTAAGAAACAACTCTGAGTTTATTCATCTATTCTCCATCTCTCCCACATAGCAACATGCTGCTTGGATCATTCCGTTCTTCTGCTACCAAATCTTCGACTTTGCCCTGAACACACTGGTAGCCATTAGTGTTGTTGTTTATCCCAACACGGTACAGGACTACCTCCAGCAACTGGTGAGAACTACTTACCTACTATCAAAACTCCTACTTTTAATGACGTATTTTAAAACTGCAGGATGGTTTTTGTTCCTGAAATATTGTATATATTTAGAGCTAAGTTACAATGCAACACATTTTATATTAAGGAATGGTTCACTGCTTTGATATTTAGTGATAACTGCCTGATTTGAAGCACTGCTAAAGGGGACGTTTAGTGAAAACTAAGGAATAATACACGTCTTAGCTATGTTGATTAGGAGTGTATTTCTTGTAGGAATGAAAGTTTTGTCAGATGCTGATTTGTTAAAGGAAACTTTCCGTCTTTTGTTTCACTCCTGAAATGTTTTTATTTGTATCGCTCTCTTTCAGCCAGGGACATTCCCTTACAAAGAGGACATCATGTCCACCAACAACATGTGCCTAGTTTTTGCAGTCCTGCTGTTCATTGGCTGCATCCTCTCCTTCAAGGTGAGCTCATAGATTCAACCCATTATTTTAACCACATCATCCATCTGAACATGAATTGAAAATGGTATACTTTTAAAATGAATATATGCAACACATGTCTACACATTACACACACTCACTGAACATGTTGTTCCCTGTAGAGCTTTTTATAGATGTGCTTGTCATATTGCAACGTAAATGAAGTCCCACACTGTGCGCATATCATGAGCTACGAACCATATGGCGTGTGTAATGAATCTGCCAGTGTGAACTTTCCCATTATCAATGTTTTTCATGGGATTATTTCACAGCCAGAGAGCAGCGGGTCAGAGACAACAGGAAACCAACTCCGGTCAAGCTTATTCCCCCTTAATGCATGGGTGACTCTCCAGGCGTAGCGATGCTCTGGGGCTCCTGGATGAGATAGGACAGGAAGTTTCAGTCATCTGTACAATCAAATCAAGTTGTTTTTCCTCTAACCTCAGATTGGAAATGTTCTCGGCAGATATCCAAAGCCAGAGCCGGCTTTTATGATAGGAAGCAGCAACTGGAAGATACACTGCTGGGTTTACAGAGAGAAGAGTCTCAGGCAGAGAGACACACAGTAGTTTAACTGCTTACATTTCAGCATTTGAAAGCAAATATAGATTCATATAATCGGAAATCTAGCTGGTAACATTAATAGAACCTGTTTTGTATTGATAGGCTGCACTGTACTGTATATATTAGCTACTGTAGTGACGGTTTGTGAGTCAGTTCCCTGGAAAAGGGCCAGATCTGAAACCTCAAGGACGCATTGAGCTGTGAGCACACAGGCAACACCTGCTGAAGGTCCTGCTGAAGCCAACATCCTCCACTTGACTGCACTTGACAGAATAATATCTGCCTGAATGACGGATACAGATAGACAGGAAGGTGAGCTGGAGAGGGAAGGAAGGGATGTTGATGGACAGATGGGCGGATGAATAAAGAAATGTAAATCATATGGGCAGGAAGGTCGAGCGCAGACTTCATGTCAGTGAATAGTGCCAGCGTAGCACATCATCATTGTGATGAAAGTGTTGGTGTCACAGCGAGGAGGGCGGCTCAGCAGATGGAAAGTGATTGGAAAGCAGGCAGCCCGGTTTCCTCGTCGGTCCGTTGCGCTTACTGCTGGCAGAGGCAGCGACTCAGCAGGCTACTCACACACATGCACACATTCACAATGAACCTCCTGTTCTTCTGCCAAGTCAGACCAACCTCACCAGAGTGCTACCGTAGCTTTACTGAGGGCAGGAGATGCCTGGTCAGTTGCCTTGGCTGAAATGTTGGATCATAAGTCCTGGATGGATATCCTCGTGGATTCATCTTCCTATTATACACACGTGCATTTCCAAACATTTGGTCTACCTATTTGCAAATGTATTATCTTTTCAATTTACACACGGCATCTATTGCACGTCTGTCCGTCCTGGGAGAGGGATCCCTCCTCTGTTGCTCTCCCTGAGGTTTCTCCCATGTTTCCCTTTAAACTGTGGGTTTTCTCCGGAAGTTTTTCCTTGTACGATGTGAGGGTCTAAGGACAGAGGGTGTCATACTGATATTCTGTACAAACTGTGAAGTCCACTGAGACAAATGTAACATTTGTGATATTGGGCTATATAAATAAACATTGATTAATTGATTGAATGTTGGTGAAAGACCAAGAAGGGCAACATTGTCCAGGAAATTATTCTTACATTAGTACAACTTTATCCAATTGCCATATACCCTGAAGTGTAATGTCCAAAAGGTAGCTAGAAGAGAGCTGCAGGGAGGAGAAACTTGTGTAGGCCATTCCAGAAGTTGGTATCCTGGTTCAGTCGACTAAAAGCCAATGGCTTGATCCTATTTGATTATTGCCAGAATTAAGCTCTGTGACCAACAAATAGATGTTATTTTTACAGCTAGATAATATTCACAAATGAACACTACCGTCTGATTTAAAAAGTGTAAATGCAAGAAGTAAAAAAGGATAATGTGAGGCTATAAACCAGCCAAAAATGTGGTTGAATAACTTCAATGTCAACATTGCTGAAAAGATGGTGAACATGTTTGGCTTGATGACGTTTAATATCCACAAGTGGTAAACTGTTTGGAATTTTGAAGCCTTCACTTAAAAAGGAAATTGATAGAGTGGTGCTTTTACGAGCATATTTCATGTCGTAAATCCTTATTTCAGGCATCGTACAAAAAACCCATTACAAAAAAACATCAACCTTGACATTAGGTTACCATAAATAAAAGAATGCTAACTCATTTTCAGGTTAGGACTCATTTCTGCAGCACCCTATATACCAATCTTCTATTAAAACTTGATATGACATATCTATGGCATCATCATCCCTAACCTTCATGGATGGATGAGGTGATGGCAAGCAGCCTCAGCAATAATGAAAAGTGGGGACGATGTTGTTAAAGGTCACTGTTTTGTCTCTTTTCTCACCCCCCGGGGACAGGCCTACCTGATTGGCTGTGTGTGGAACTGCTACAGATATGTGACCGGCCGGGGTACCACGGAGGTCCTGGTGTATGTCACCACCAATGACACCACGGTGAGTCTCGCCTCCTCACTGCAAGGACACATTTCCCTTACTCAGATCATCATATAATTGCGCTCACACAGCATTCTTTTTTTTTTGTGGCTTACAAGCTATCAGTTCTCTTTATATGGGAGAAATACATCCAGCTTTGAAAAGTAGTGTTCCTCAATAAGTGTATCATGTACTAGGCTAAAGCTTTGTGAAGTTTTATAACCCTATACTAATATTTAGATTGTATTTACTTGTGTATATTATTGCAGCTCAGTGAATTGATACCTCTAAATGTACAAGGTAAGAATTATAGACACCACTGGTAATGTGATATGTATGTCATAGATTACATAGCTTGACGTGTGCTTAGATTAGCAGAATGTATTGTTTTAGAATTAAATCAACACATTTTTGAAAGCAGTAAATGCTAAACTCGGGGAAAAAACTAATTAACCTCAGATTTGACACATTTTCTGAATCCATATAATGAAGGAAGACAGCAATCTGTTCACTATGGAAAATGATCTCACTGCTGACAATTTGTTTTTTAATTTGTATTGTTTAAATATATGCTAGAGCATACTGTACATGTATGTAAAACATATCGACATCATCAACTTCACAATAAAATCAGGACACATATCACAGTGTATTGCCAATTATCAGTCGATCAGAAAGCGGTGCATCTCAGTTGTCTAGCAGTAGGTGCTGTAGATCCTCCTTAGCTGTGATTGGCCGGCTTTGCAGAGCCGCTTCCTCCCTCGTCCATCATCCCACTTGGTCCCTGTCAGTGTTGACTCATGGGGTTTCTGAGAGGCTTTAGCTTGGTCACGCTTTCCATTCGTCTGTCTGTAATCCACCTGTTGATACATCGCTCATTAATCTGTCTCACCTGCTGTCGTCTCAATATGTAGCGCCTCATCAGTCCGTCCATTTGTCCTTCTCATGGACATGACTCAGGAAGTAATCCATAGGGTCTTATATCACACTGTGTACCATGTGTCCATATATTCAATACGTTTGAAATGAGACACTCAGTTTAGAAAATACTTTATTGGGAAATGATTTGAGAATGTAATTAGATAAGCAAGAAATGACATCTAGTGTATTATTATTTATTTTGTGTATTATTATTATAGATGGCATATATTTCTTATGTATAACAAAGTACATACAAACAGCGTAAACAATATGTGCGTTACTCAATACGGTCTTAATTCCTTTTTACTGTGTGTTGCTCTCATCCCAGTGCCAATTAATTCCTACAGAAGATTCATCTGATAGGATTGATAGTGATTAATTAATCAGCACCATGTAACTAATTCACCTGAAACTCTGATGACAGCCCTTATGTATCATTAAACTAATGGAGACAGAAAACAAGTGTAATTGTATACTAGAAAAATCTAATATTTATTTTTGTTGATTAGGAAACATTTTAAAAACAGAACAACTGAGGCATCTAGGTCAAAGTGAAGGCTGTTAACAAGAGAAGTATTTCATTTCAATGAATACTTGTGGCTCTTCGTTTACGCTGGTTAAACAGCTCTCATAAAGTATGAAAAGTGGTTTCATCGCTGCGTTCCCTCTCCGCACGGTGGTGAATGAAAAGAGGTCTCCATCTATTTATACTATTAGAAAGCCAGCAGTGTGTCTAAATGGCTTTTTACTGCCTCCAAGTACCCAGCTGCTTATCTGACATGCTTTTTATATAAACGCCATTAAAATGCACAAGAGTCTTCTCCCCCCCCCCCTCCCCGCGCCCCCCCCCCCTTCTTTTCTCTCTATATATCTCTGTCCGTCCTCTCTTCTTCTGGACATGTTACATAACTGTCTGCTTGTCCGCTTCATTTCAAATCCTCTCAGTGATGTGTTCGCCGGGCCTCCCTGGCTGCTTCACAATTCATCCCCTCGGAGCATATTCTCTCTCTCTCTCTCTCGCCCTCGCTCTCTGAATTAGAAGCAGGGCTGGTTTAATAACACCGTTCACAGAGGCAAGGCTCTCTGGCCTTTAAAGCACAGGGATGTGTGTGTGTGGATGTTGGAGAAGAAACCTGCAGCAGTTACTAAGTCTGTCTCTGAATATCTTCATATTTATAATAAAATGTACTATACTAAAGTGGCAATAGGCATGTATGGAAAGGAAGGGAGGAATCAAATGGACTAGTAGAGTAGAATAATGACACCATCAGCATTTTGAGCTTTGCTTTTACGAGCAGTTCTGTCTGCGTGGAAAAGGCTTGATTAACAGCACAAAGGAAGTGCGTCAGTCTTTACTCAAACCAAACAGGAAGTGGATAAAGCTTTAATTTCCGTTAACTTTTCACAGCTATTAATGAGTAGGCCTATGCATGTCAGTTATTTGCAGTTACTAGACAGTGCAACAAATAGGTAAATGTGGTAAAACTAAATGTAGTGTGTTGGAAAGTATCGCCAAATCTGTGTAAAGCCCTCGCTCCAAAAATACTTCGATAACGGCACACGCTCGTTTGCATTTTGGTGACGTCATCACACATAAAGCTTTGTGGTTGTGTCGGTTGCAGTGAGGGAGAGCCTCCACACGTGACTGCGATTACTCTTATTTATTTATATATATTTATTACTCTTATCCTGTCGGTGTAAATAAGTTGCTAAATGTGTTGCTACTAGTAGCTCTGAGAAGAAAAATGAAAGAGATCTGTTGTGTGGCACCACTTATAAGTCTTGAAACCCCATTTGGAAATAACGGGGGGGGATTGAACAGTTGTCTTTTGCCCCTCATAATTGTGACGCCCATTTGTTTCTTTGATTTTCAGTGTGTCCATTTCTGTGTTCAAAAGTTTCCACAAGAATGGCTGATTGGCTCATTCATCGTAATGGATCAAGATGCATTCTGGTATGCTTTTCGAATGAGACATTTTCTTTTTTTTTTGTGTTGCATTTCAGGTTCTGCTGCCCCCGTACGAGGAGGCTATTGCTATACCGCCGAAGGATCCCCCTCCCCAGTATATGGAGGCATGAGAGACGTCCTCCTTGTTGGACCCCATCCCCCAAACACCTTCCACCTCTCACTCCCACCACTAGGACCCAAACGCTGGCTGGAACATGTTGGAAAACAAGACAAAACAGTGTCTTAGAGGCTTGGATTAGGTTGACCTCCATCAACTCTCCCCCCCCCCNACCCCCACCACCTCCCCTGGTTGTTGTGATGTCATTTCCTCCCCTACCCTCTCCTCTGTCTTCCTCCAAGGACAGTATCCCAGCGACTCCACCGGCTCCCCCCCTAAACTCTGGCTCCCCCTGAACACTCTGACCCAACTCAACGTGCACTTTTCTTTGAGGGAAACGTGCACCGGTTTGGCCACCAACTGTTAACCCCCCGATACTGTGAATCTCCCTCGTGGTCTTTGTCTAGAAACAAACTACCTGAAGAGAGTTAGTGACAGAGTGAGAAGGAAAGCGACATACACGATCGATCAGTTATGCAAGAGCACTTTTTTCCGAAATTGACAAACTCCTTCATTGAATGTAATGTCGAGGTATTTTTGTATGACTTTTTTGTATAACAGTAAAAAACGGAGAGAAAAATAAGTGATAGTGAAAGGCTGTCCTGTTGTGATATGTTCATGGTCTGTCCTGCAGGAAATCTTAATGAAAAAGGATCCTCGAGCACTACTTCTTCCTGTTGTTTCCATGTAAACACACGGTCTGTTAACCTGTGATCCGTTGACTGCCCGTTGAAAACCTTGTTCACCCTTTCTTCTCCATCACAATATTCCAGTTTGCCTTCCTGTCTGTTCCGAGAAAGAGTGGCATTAATGATCTTGTTCATAGAAGCACACAAACATAAATATTACAGTTTCACATCCAAAAAGGCAATACACAAACAGTCAAATCTATAATATGTAACATTAGTGTGTTGAGACGCGCGTCCTGTGTTCCCGTCGAGCTGCAGCTTCAACGTCTTTGTTTTTGTTTTACATGTAATCTGATATTTTTAGTTGAGATAACTTAGCTGGACTGAGGGCATTTTCCTATAAGAGCTGCTGTACGTGTGTACGCTATGATGTAACTCCTGATTCCTTTTATATGTAGTAACATTTCCTTTGCCTATGCAGCGATATCGTGTTGAGGTATTTCCTGTGCTGGTGACCTTTTTTAAATCTAACATTTTTTGTATGAATGGCTCTGAATCTAAAGCTTAGCTTAGCATAGTAGCACAAAATCAATATACAGTATATGAAGCTAGAGAAGCTTGTCTTTTGCCTAAAGGTATTCAGGCAATTATGAAAATTAATAATGGAGCAAACCATATTAGACACACCTAATTCCCTTTTTCCAATATTTCCTATGTAGTATTTGCTATATACTGTAAAAGGTCTTTCCTTCGGACTATGCAACATTGCATTCAACATCTCCCTAGTACCATGAATTAGTTTTACATTTGATACTAATACTGTAGTCGTTAATTGGTTGGCCCCTTCAAGGGCTTTTCCCTGTGTGAATTATGACCACTGCTTTAGCAAATCCAACAAAGCTGAAAAGGTAACTGCACTTTAAAGTCAGCGTGAGCTCACTGGGAACTGATGTTTATATTTGACCTTGTATGCTGTAGCTAACATGTATTTAGTATGATCAGCTCCAAATCAGTATTTTGCATGTGTGAAACTGACTGAAGGGTTTTTAGAGAAGAGGCTTGTACAGTGTCTGGACCGGTGGATGGCTGATGCTTCGTTTTATTAGAATCACTTCAAGACTGTTCTCCATTTCTTTCCACTCAAACACATCCTCTTGTTGGATCTGCATGAGCTCATGTCTCCATTCTGAATAATAAAAAGAAAAATCAGTCAAAGTGTCTGCTTCTGTGTTTATTCATTGAGTCAATGTTTGTCTTAGAACTTGAGTTTTGATTTTCATCGTGAAAAAATGTATGTATGAAGTTACTGGTATTTAGATACATTTCAAATTACCCCTGGAAATGAGGAATAAAATTGAATATATTAGGCGGTCTTTTATGTATTTTGAAGGACTTAAAGGTCCTATGTCATGCTTTTCCGGTTATTATCCGTCCCCTTGTGTGTTATGAAGGTTTTTAGTCATGTCAACGGTCTGCAAAGTCACAAACCCTAAAAGTACACCCTGTAGCGAGTACAACTCTAACCCAGTTAAATATCTGTCTATGCTGCCCCAGAACACCTCGTTGGAGATTTCTCTTTTTCTTCCTGGGTACAGTGACGTGACCATACCCAAATGGACCAATCCGTGGAGCCGTTATGTTACGCCAGCGGAGCCGTTAGGTTAAGTCCGTGGATTGGTCCAAATAGACCCACACACTCAAATCTTTTCTCAGCTGCAGCTCCGCCGATTTTTCCTCCCTGAGATTGCGAGACGCGCCGAGGCTGTGAATCGGTATGTGTGTGTTCGGGCTGGTTTCGGGCTGGGTTTCGCTGTCTCGCAGACGGCCACTGGGCTCATAGGGAGGTGGGGGGCAGGAGTTCCAACAAGCCGTTTAGGACAGAGAGTGAATACACATACTATACAGAGATGCTGTATGTGATTTTGGAAAATTGCACAATATAAATCTATTTTAGTAGATCTCAACAATGGAATTATGATCAGTAGAAATGGCCATGACATGGGACCTTTAATGTCACTGAATCACATCTATTAACAATAATTGTCAATGCATGCTGCTGATATGCATACGTGCTTCCGGCTGCCTTCACAAACTGCAGCATCCCTCATTGGATACAAACAATTTGGCAGATCAGCGAGGATTTACCCCGCTGTCTCAAAATGGACGCCAGCATTACCTTGGGACTGACAGAAGGTCAGCTACCAGACAGACACGCTCACCTACTTTCTGCTTTCACCGGGACAGCACAGGGGGAAAACAGTCAAATAAGTGGGTCATATTCTGTCCCTTTTCTTTGTTGTTTACACATAGAGGGTTTGCACGATGACATCAGCTTCAAAAAGTAGTAACAAGAGCCAAAGAATGGTTTTTGAAACCATCAGCATTCAAATTCTCCTTTAAATGTTCCTGCAACTATTTACAATATATCCTAAAAAAACAGATACTTGTCAGGGTATGTATTTTGCTGTG